TCCTGCGGGGGCAGGTGGGGGTCATGGGGGGGCTGCTTCCAGCCCCTCCCCCCAACCTCTCCCCCTGAGATGGCACTTACGGGGTGTCTGGGCGCAGGGCTGGGCTGGGTGGGGGGGGACTGCAGCCTGTGGGGGGAGAGACTGGCAAGGGGGAGCCGTCCCTGGCCTCCCATTACCCCTGACCCCCCCCAGAGCACCATAAAGGCCCACAATCCCCCATGACGCCCCCCCGCAAACCCTGGGGTTCCTCAGTTGCCCCCACATGGGAGCAGAGAACCCAGAAGTCCTAGTTCCCGGGGGCGGGACGGACTTACTGCCTGGGGAAGGCTGGAGGCGGGCGAAGAGGCCTGGACCAGGGCGCAGGGGGTCCAGGATGGGGGGGGCACGGTAGCAGGGGTCCCCCCCTGGGCACTGCAGCCGGCTCTGGTGGGGGGCACCCTGGCAGCCTGGGACCTGGGGGGGACAGGGCCTGTGTCTGGGGGGGGTAGGGCACCCCCAGATGCCGGGGTCCTATGCACAGAGTAGCCTTCCCCCCACTCCACAGGCCCGGCCCTCAGCCAATCAAGAGTTCTCTCTCCCCTGGTTAGGGGTGAGGTCAAAGGGCACGACGTGGGAAGCTTCTTGTCATTCCCCGTCCCCGCTCCACCGCACTCACCTGGCCAGCTGCCCCTGGGGGGGGCTGCTCGTACCCTGGCATGGGGACCTCTGCCCCCGGGGCGACTTCTGACCCGGGCCAGCATTCAAACGGGACCCAGGAGGACTCTGGCACCTTGAAGTAGTGATCAGTGGCCTGTAGGGCAGGGGTCATTGCTGGAGAGGACCCAGGCGTCTGCGCTCCCAGCTCCACCTGCTCTAACCCCCTAGTCCAGAGAGCCCAGGTTTCCAGGCTCCTACACCCCCCTTCCCTCTCCCCTGCCAGAGCTGGCGAGAGCCCAGGCATCCAGCCCCCCAGCCCCAGTGCACCTGGGAGCCACAGGCACTGTCCGGGGGCCAGTCTGCAGGTCCCAGCAGCCGGGAGAAAACCTCAGAGCCGGCCAGGCCTGGGGAGCAGAGACGGGGCCAGCAGTGAGTGACGGGGGGGGCGCACAGGGGTTCCCTTCTGAGCCCTACAGCCCCAAAGGGGATCCAAGGCCTTTGTTGTGGGACCGGGACCTAGGGGCCCCAGGCATCCGGGTTCCCAGCCCCACCCTGCTCTCGCCTCCCCAGCCCCACTTCCCGCCCAAAGAACCAGGCATCCGAGCTCTCAGGCCCAGGCCGCGCTCCCCACCTCCAGACCCCGGGTGTCCCGGGCTCTCAGTCCTCCCTGCTCTCACCCCCGACACCCACTCCCTGCCCAAAGAAACCAGGGGTCCGGGCTCGCGGTGCTAGGGCCCGCTCCCCGCCCCACCCTGCTCTCGCCTCCCCAGCCCCACTTCCCGCCCAAAGAACCAGGCATCCGAGCTCTCAGGCCCAGGCCGCGCTCCCCACCTCCAGACCCCGGGTGTCCCGGGCTCTCAGTCCTCCCTGCTCTCACCCCCGACACCCACTCCCTGCCCAAAGAAACCAGGGGTCCGGGCTCGCGGTGCTAGGGCCCGCTCCCCACCCGAAGAGCCCACGGCCCGTCACTCACCAGGGTCCTGGTAGCCGCTGTGGGGTCCGTAGCTCGGAGGCACCAGCTCGGGGTAGAGGCACTGGGCCGAGGGATCCGGGCCCCCCCCGCCGCCCCCGGCCCCCCCCG